ACACCCCTCACTCATCTCTGCCACACTGAGGACCCTCTACCCCCAAACTCTCCCCCACCACAACTGGTGGGGTCAGAAAAAGGAAATACCTACAACCCTGACATAATATCTGAGGAAGAGATGAAAAGATCTTAAACTCCTGATATAAGCTCCGTTAAATACAAGGTACAAACTTAAAAATGTAAAATAAAAATACTTATCTAGAAGGGGCCCAGGAGACCATTTTACAGACGGAGAAACTAAAGGCCAGAAAAATGTGGGATGGCACGGTAATTTATTATAAAACCCAATCTCGGCCAATCCTGTACTTTTTTAAAAAACATGCCACACTGTTCCTGAAACCACCCCCAACAGCTCTCATCAATTGCTCTAAAAGCCTAGCTACGGGGTCATTAATGTTGTCCACTCATTATTTTGAGCTGGGACACAGGAGGATGGAGCTTTCTTGCTCCCTTTGAAGTTAAGTGTGGCCATGTCACTGGGCTTTGGCCAAGAAACTTGAGTAGTAGCAACGTGGCTCACTACCCAACCTTCATAGCCAATGTCCATCAGACACTTGGTAGGAATGAAAAGGTATGTTAAGCCAGAGAGAGTTGAGGGTTGCTCCTTACAGCAGCATAATCTAACCCACGCTGACTGCTACACTAGCAGAGTAAGAATTCCCTTTCAAAATAAGGGATGCTTTAAAAAAAAAAAAAAAAAGTCTGTGTGAGTATCTGCCACCTCCAGGAGAGCCACCATCTGACAAGTTAAAAAACGACAGCCTTTTGCCCTCCTCCCTTACTGAAAGGTGAGCCCCTTCCTCCCTCCACCTGTGGGGATCTCTGCCAAACTCAGCCAAGCAACACATGCCACTCTGCCATCAGAGTTTAGGTGTGCCTCCCAGTTAGGAAGTGGAAATGAAAGAAGCTGATACCAGTTGATGAAACTAAGCATCCGCTGAAAGGTGCATACTTAATTTTGGCAAAGCAGCTACCCTAGAATTCATTTACTTAAAAGTAAGGATGATGGTGGCTGCCAGGAGTGAGGGGACCGGGGGGAATGGAGAGTTAGTGTTTAATGGACACAGAATTTCAGGTTTGCAGGATGAAAAGAGTTCTGCGATGGCCGGTTGTGATGGCTGCACAACGGTGTGAAGGTACTTAACGCCACTGAGCCGGACACTTAATGGCTAATGTGGTATGTTGTGTGTATTTTACCACAATTAAAAATGTTTAAAAATAAAATAAAAGGAAGGGAAAAAAATGCCAACCCCCATAATCTAGAGAAAGATCTACAGAAATGTACACTCATAGCTTTATGAAAAAGTTAGCCATCAGGCCTTTTAACCGTTACTATGTCTCAAGCCTCCAAACTCTTTTAAAACCTCTCAGTGGCTGAAGGTAGTTCCATTAGAGAGAATGTTTGCTCCTGCTAGTCTATCGAAATAAAACAGCAGTCTCTGTCATTCTCTGTCATTAAGCTAAATCAATTTCTAAGAAGCACAATTCACTAAATGAGCTTTTCACAAGTTTGTCATTTTCCGGTGGCGAAGAGGGTGGTCAAAGGCTCCGCTTACTCCTGTCAACAGCAAGTTAAGTCAACTCTCGAAACATTTCACGGCAGTTTATCGACTTAACAATTCAGAGTAAATCACAGCAGACCACTAACCTGACACAAAGTTTGCCAGTGTGGCCTCTCCAGGATTTAAATTCTGACACGCTCCAAAAGCTTTTCAGAGGTGCT